CCAAGCTGTCAAGGAGTATTCTTGAATTTAAAGCCTTTATATCTTTACAAATGCTTTTTCCCTCCTCTTGAAAGTTATGTAAATAGATTGAGCCATTAGAGAAAGAGAGAAGAAATAGAAAATCTATGCATACATAACCTTTAGGATCTTTTCTCCCCTTGAAACCTAAGAATTGCAGCAATTTATTTTACAGGAAAAGTTATGAGTGTAGTTGATGGGGTAGTTATAATCTGAGCATGATTCTTGACTTTACTCCACCTGTTTTGTACAGCTCTAGTGGCACATTGCAACTGGAAAGTTAGCTTATCTGTCCTTTGGAGGATTCCCCATACGGCATAGGGGTGGTGCTTGCCTTGTTGTAGTGGGGTGCTTCCAAGAAGAGAGGGCATAGATTAGGTATCTTTATGCTCTGGTGCGCCTTGGTTGCCAGGAAGATGGACTGAATGGACGATGGACTAGGGGAAACACTAAGGTGTTTAGAGCCATTTCTGGCTCTCCATGCCCAGCGTTCAGCTTTATTGAAACTATCTCAACTACAGCTTTAAATCTAGCCTATATGCCTGAGCACATTTGAATAAAATCCCTTTTTATTCCACGAGGGTAAGATAAGTCACCTTATTTATAAAGGAAACAGATCTGGGCCCTAGAATAGCATCATTGGCATCCATCTGCTTCCTTTAATTCTTATCAAATTTAGTACTAACAATAGGTGTTGCCAGAGAAATAGCCCAGGAGAATGAATTCCAATTATCCCTGATATTTGGGAACAACCACATCTGGGTTGAAATCCAGGCTCCAATGAAGTGCATGGCAACCAGGTTGAATGTAATGGCTTCAACTCATTTGTCGCTTACTTAGTATAAGGGTTGCAGAGAGCTTCACCAACCCATTTCACAAAGGCCATCAAATACACTTTTGATCAGCTTTGAATTCCTATAATTGCTAATGGTATCAGGCTTCAGGCCCCCAAACACATATTGGCTCTACTGGATACTTAGGAGTTTTGGTGAAATACCTGCGAATCACATCAGTAAAGTCCATTTGGTCTGGGCCAAATCCTGAATAGTTTATTCAGGCAAAATGCACTTTGAGTTTGCCTGAGGCAAGAACTAAGGACCTTATTTTTAAAGATATTTGGGTGCCTAACTCCCAGGCAAAGGCATCTAAATATCTTTAAAAGTCCATCTAAATAAAAACTAAATGAGGACTTGAGGATCCGGCCCCTTGTTAATTGAAAAACAAAGTATCAGAGGCCTCCAGAGGAAAATGAACATGTAAGAGGTCAGTACAAAGAGCACTGATTTTATCTTATTTTTATATTCTTATAATCTACTCTGCGCATGGGCCTTCATATTCTTGTGTGTCAAAATGCATATAGTTATATATAATTTGGTACAATATATGTGCCAAATACATATGTACCCAAAGCCCCATATACAAATATCCCCAAATTTTGGGAAAGTTTATCTTGATACAGATCCAAATTTCATGTTTGCCTGTAATGATTGCAACAATCCCCTGGACCAGGTCCAAGTTTGATAACGTTTGGATCCTTTACCAAATCTTGCAGTGTGAAAATTTCTACTTCTGTAAATTTGTGACTTCAATGAATCTCAATCAATCATGATGAAGTGACGAAGAAACTACTTTAAAAGGAAGTGCAATATAAAAGGGAGAAATGCCATTCAAAAAGAAAAATTGGCAGTAAGAATAGAAGTGAAGGCTTTAAATTACTCTGTTTACTGCTGAAAGATCAGTAGATATGGGTTCATCTTGTATTTGGGCCTTTCAACACTATTATTTTCTGGCTCATTTGAAAAATTGTAGGAATAGGAAACTTCTACAGAGCAGCCAACAATACATTGCAACACCTTGAGAAGCAGTAAATTAGACTGTAGTCATACTGTGTTGCAACTGGCTTGACAATCAGCCCATTAAACAGAGGCAAAACAACAGCATTCTTAATTAAAAACAAAATGGAAAAAATACCCAAATCACAAAATAGCCCCTATTTTTTCATCTGTCATTTACAGTAATCTCCAACCCGATCTTCACAAATAAAGGTGCTAATATTATTAGACAGTCTCCAGTCTGTAACAAGTAAGCCATGTTAGCTCAGCATGATGTGTTCTTTACCAAGGGATTTCATTACCTCCGCATAAACAAATGTTAACAGGAAAGACACATTTTAAATGCACATTGTTGAAAAGTTGAGATCATAATTTAGTATTTCTTTAGTTGAGAAAAGTAAATTTTGAAAATGTAGTCTAAGAGCGTTATGACATCCCATGTTCTTTCTCACTGATCTTCAAATCAAATTCCTCAGTACACAAGTAAACTAATCTCATTCCGCATTCTACCTCCCCCGTTTCCAAATCTTCAGTCTTGGGATGTGTAAAATGTGTTCTTTCAGGCTCATATGACATTATTAAAGGTGATTGGAGAAATTTAGGTCCTGAATCTGACAACACTTTCTCATGCATATCAAGTTAATCACATGCATGTTTGCAAGATGTAGTAAGGGGGTAGCCCTGTTAGTCTGTAACTTAAAAAAAAAAAAAAAAAGCTTAAAAATGAGTGGTCCTGTAGCACCGTAGGGTATGTCTACACTTGCAGACTAATTCGAAATAGGGCTGCAAATGTAGGCATTTGAAATTGCAAATCAAGCCTGGGATTTAAATATCCTGCGCTTGATTTGCATCTTCCCGGCTGGGCGCCATTTTTTGAAATTGACAAGCCCGGAATAACTGCCTGCATCTACACACGGCAGTGAAATGGGCATTCAAAATAAGGCCCTAGTTCAAAATACCTGTTAAACCTCATTGTAGGAGGAATAACAGGTATTTTGAACTAGGGCTTTATTTCGAATGCCCGTTTCACTGCCGCGTGTAGATGTAGGCAGTTATTTCGGGCTTGTCAATTTAAAAAAAAAATGTCGCCCGGCCGTGAAGATGAAAATCAAGTGCGGGATATTTAAATCCTGGGCTTTATTTGCAATTTCGAATGCCTACATTTGCAGCCCTATTTCGAATTAGTCTGCAAGCGTAGACATACCCTTAGAGATTAACAAAAAATACAGGTAAGTATCATGAGCTTTCATGGGCACAACCCACTTCTTCAGATGACAAATATGAAGCAAGAGGCTCAGAGGGTCAAGTATAAAGCAAGAAAAGAAGGGGAGGGGAGGAGGAGGAAAAGAAACCCTGTCAATTAAAGTGTCTCTGCTAAATGAGGCTAATAAGGTGGGTTGTAAGTGCCTGATACTTAGCTTTTGACGTTGTTTGGGCTTTGAACAGAATGGCCCATCCAAGAGAGATCTTGGTCCAGTCCCTGGCTAAATGTGTCAAAATTGCATATGAAGGCCAGTTCCACAGTTTCTCTCTCTAGTTGGTTCCTGTATTCTGTAAGAGAATAGCAAGTGTTGATGCATGAGCCAGAATAGAACCTTACTCTCCCATAGCTGTGTTGTCCCTACATTGCTAACCGGGTAATAGGGTAAAAGCTGATTGTTGTCACTGAAGGTAGCAATATGACTGATACATTTTGGGAAGATGTATTGAATGAGAAGGTAACCATTTTTCTGGTACTCTTCTGACCAGAATCATGCTTAGAAGATTATATTATAGTGTTGGCACCTGAAATATAGCATGTGTAAAAAGGAGAACCAAAAAAGAGAAATTTGCTCCACGATCAACAGTCTAATTTCACTGTCCCAAACGCAATGAAGTTCAGAAAGTAAACCTAGAGCATCTGGGTCTTTAAAGTACATTTGACTATGTATTCCTTCAATGACAGTGATCAGAGAGATTTGTTAGTGACATTGTTCAAAAGAAAGTGAGCTTGACAGTCTCTGTAAGTCATTCCATATTTAAAAATTGATTTAGGACTCATGAGGAAGAGGAAACAGAGGTCTTACATGATTCTGCTGCCCCTTATGTGGTCATTTATACCCACACAAAGTTCCAACAAATCACATTCCACCACTTATTTGCCATTCTCCATCCATTCTTCAATCCCTTTGCACGGGTGTGAATGACTGGACAAGTTGCCAATCAATGGAGAATAAAGCTCTGAGTACATGAATTGAAGAGGGGTATTCATGAAAGGAAATAGATGCTCATACTCCTATTTGTAGATCCACTCAATTGCCTGTAGTTCTGCATGATAGTCTTGATTCCATTCCTAGCTGCCTAAAAGGGTGTGTAATGTAACTGCTGAGAGAGAAGCATAATCTGAAAATTCTTAACTACCTCCTAATTTTAGCTCCCGTGTGTGTCTGTCTCCATCTCCTCCCTCAAGGAGGCCCCAGGAATACAGCCAATAGTGAGTAAAGCAGAGCGAAATCTGAGAGAGTCTGAAGCCACAGGGATGGAGGAAAGGGAAAAATAATCAGATTAATACCATTAAAGCGAAAAATGTCTTCTCTGCTGGTTTAAACTAACCATGAACCCAAGCTATAATATTTAGATTTGTATTCGAAATGCTTGAAAGTTTGTGGGCTTTTGGCTTGTTCCATTGTATAAAAAGAAGCCATTTATATTATATCTGCATGTGAGTTTGGATTTTGAATTCTCACCCTATGCAAAATTTGAGTTTTAGACTGAGCCTATTTTTACTTTTAAATATCATTCTGGATAAATCAGCTAAGTGAACCTCATCAAAAACTATTG